CCTGAGCTTCGATCTGTATAGCCCCCTTCTCAGACTGGGGGGCAGTGACCTCGTTGAAGCTAACATGTTAGGCTTTGTTTCTAATAGTGCGGGGGGCTGTGGGGGAGATCCTGGTGGTAGGTGGAATGTACTCGGTGTCAATGTCTTCATCAAGCAGATGTCGAGAATGAGCTACAGATTTGGACTTGCCCCTTCTTGCATAGGTAGGAGTTTGTTTCAGGGCCATGGTACCTGTGGAAGACTAGTTAGTACCAAAACAAGGCATTAAGACTCATGGAAAATTTTTAGAACAAGACTCGGACCCAGACAAAAAAAAAAAAAATTCTCATACAGTAGTTGAACTGGCGACCCAAAGTGGGTACCTATGGTCCATCAATGGAACAATGGTCTGTGAGTCCCCTCCGTAGGTCAGATCATTGAAAATCAGGTCCCAAATGGATAACCACGGATGTGCAGAACGGTTTGTCGATTGAACGACGGACCATAGTCCACACCGTGGTTCTAGACTTGGCCCAATTTCTGTGTGCTATTGATCCACGAACCCCACCTATGGTTTGTAGGTTGATCTACGGTCTGTGGGTGAAGTTCGTAGATCATTTTTGTGCCAGGCCTAAATTTAAACTTATTTTCAACTCACAATTTCAACACCTTTTTTCAATCAAACTAAGTCTTATCATGCATTTCAGCACAATATATGGTAGTTCATCATCTTTAGGGTAAGTCAAAACTTCCAATTTAGACCTATTAACTGATTTATGTGGTTTTAATTTATAACACACTCACATACTATCATTCCAAGGGTGTTTCTAACTACACTTCAACATTCAAATAGGATATTAGCAACCCGAGGTCAAGTTTCAACTTCGTGATTTCATGGTTTAAACAATGAACATCGAATTCAAAGTTAGGGTGAAATCATTTACCTTATAAGTACTCGAAGTAGGTGAGTGTATTAGTTCAATGAACTCCTTGAACCTCTTTTCTAGCCTTTGACACCGAACCCGGATAGTGACAGTGGTGGGGATGAACAATAGAGAAATTGGAATAATTTCAGAGAGAAGAAGGAAGGTATGAGATGTGGGATTTATTAGGATAAGTTTTGGGAGTGATTAGGGAGTTATTAATTGAGGATTATGGCGTAAAGGATTGGTTGTAACGGTTGGGGAGAGAATATGGTTAGGGGAAATATTTTAAAATAAAGGGTTTTAATAAAAAGAGGTTTGGTTCGGGTCAGGCAGAAACCTTAGGTTGGACCCACGAGACCCCATCGACGGTCCGTGGGTTGGGTCCGTAGGTCACTCTGACACATAGATAAATTAGAAAACTTACCTGGGATCTATGGACGCCATCCACCGTCTGTGTATTGACCAACGGACCGTCGATGGGGTCCGTAGACCACTGCACAACTATTTTCTGTAGATTTTGATTTTCGTCCCTGCACACGTAGCAACCATTAGGACTTTCTTTTTACATTTTCTAGACACTTTGTAGACATGGACCCTAATCTATATCTAGCCAATACTAAAAAAAATAAACATCAATTTAAAGAGCTATAAATATCAAAAAAGAAAGAAGAAAACTCATATATCAAAACGAAAAACCTATAGTTGGCTAGATTGTACATCTTGGGTTGCCTCCCAAGCAGCGCTTGATTTAACATTGCGATACGACGCAGGCACCTTGATTACTCATACTTAATCAAGATAGTAGGCCTCAATCACTTCTTGCACACTCTCCGATTTCCCCATGTAAACCTTGATCCTCTGCCCGTTCACTTTGAACCTTGTTCCCTCCTTGTTCTTAAGCTCGACCGCTCCATGTGGAAATACTTGCGTGACTCTGAATGGCCCAGTCCACTTGGACTTGAGCTTGCCAGGAAATAAGCACAACCTTGACTTGAATAAAAGTAGCAGATCACCCACAACAAATTCACGCTTTTCAATTTTTTGATCATGATATTTCTTCATCTTCTCCCTATACAAAGACTGAATTTCATATGCTTTTAGGCGAAATTCATCAAGCTCATTCATGTCATTAAGTGTTTGACTCGATGCGGCACCCCAATCCAAATTCAACTTCTTTAATGCCCACAATGCTTTATGCTCTAGCTCTACAAGCAAATGACATGACTTCCCATATACAAGTTGGTAAGGGGCCATACCTATAGGAGTCTTAAATGTTGTGTGATAGGCCCATAGAGCATCATCAAGCCTTCTTGACCAATCAGTTATGTTGGCGCTCACAGTCTTTGCAAGGATTTGCTTTATCTCTCTATTTGACACCTCAACTTGCCCACTAGACTCCGGATGGTAAGGAGTGGCTACATTATGACGAACCCCATATGTTTCTAGCAACGCCTTGAACAAATTGTTACAAAAGTGAGAACCTCCATTGCTGATAATTGCCCTGGGTGTACCAAATCTGGAGAAGGTACTCTTTTTCAGGAATGCGGTGACACTTCCCTCATTGTTTGAAAGCGCAGTGCTTCCATCCATTTTGATACATAGTCAACCGCAACAAGAATATACTTCATCCCATGCGAACTCACAAATGGACCCATGAAGTCAAGGCCCCAAACATCAAATAACTCAATCACCAATACTGGATTCATAGGTAGCTCTTGCCTCTTTGAAATTCCTCCTTCTCTTTGGCAACGATCACAAGACTTGGCGAAATCATGATCATCTTGGTGGATGGCAGGCCAGTAGTTCCCACACTACAAAATTTTATGAGCAGTTCAGATACCACTATGGTGCCCACCAACAGACGATTAATGACATACCTCTAGTATACTCATCATATGAACCTCGGGCACACAGCGACAAATAATCCCATCAGCACAAATACAGAACAAGTAAGGCTCATCCCAAAAGAATTTCTTCACATCAGACATGAATTTTTTTCCTTGGTGGAATGACAAATCTGATGGAACCAAATCACTTGCAAAGAAATTAGCAAAATCTGCGAACCAATGGATAAGATCATAAGATGCAACCAATACTTGTTCATCAGGGAATGTATCATTTATCTCAACTACGTCCTCGAACTTGATCATAGCTTCCTCGTCAAATCTGGACAAATGATCGACAACTTGATTTTCTATCCCCTTTCTATCTTTCACCTCAAACTTGAACTCTTGCAACAACAACACCCATCTAATCAACCTCGGTTTTGCATCCTTTTTAGCCGTCATATACCTCAATGCAGAATGGTCAGTATGCACTATGACCTTAGAACCAAGCAAGTAGAACCTAAATTTTTTGAATGCAAAAACCACAGTAAGGAGTTCCTATTCAGTCACAGTATAGATCTTTTGGGACATATTCAGAGCTTTGCTGGCATAGTAAATCCGATGAAGAATATTTTCTCGCCTTTGGCCCAATACTACCCCAAGCGCCACCCCGCTCGCATTACACATAACTTCAAACGGTTGTCCCCAATCTAGTGAAATAATGATAGGTACGGAAGTTAACTTCGCCTTCAACTATCTAAATTCTCTCAGACAAGCATCATCAAAATCGAACTTAGACTTTTTTTCGAGCAGTTTGCACAATAGGTGTGCAATTTTTGAGAAATGTTTTATGAACCTCCGGTAGAAACCTGCATGCCCAAGAAAACTCCTAACACCCTTTACAGAGATAGGTGGTGGAAACTTTTCTATTACCTCAATTTTGGCTCTATCAACCTCAATACCTTTCTCAGAAATTCGATGACATAGAACTATCCCCTCTTTCCCCATGAAGTGACATTTTTCCCAGTTGAGCACCAGATTACACTCTTCACACCGTTTTAGTACCTCGGCCAGATGCATCAAACAACCATCAAATGAGTCACCTACCACAGAGAAGTCATCCATAAATACCTCAATAGTGTTCTCCACCATATCTGAAAATATTGACATCATACAACATTGGAAGGTCGTTGGAGCATTACACAACTCAAATGGCATCCTTTTAAATGCAAAAGTCCCATAGGAACAAGTGAAGGTGGTATTCTCTTGGTTTTCCGGAGCTATGGAGATTTGATTGTAGCCCGAATACCCATCTAGAAAATAATACCGACCCTTACCAGTGAGACGATCCAACATCTGATCCATGAACGGCATAGGGAAGTGGTCTTTCTCTGTCCATGCATTTAGCTTGTGGTAGTCAATACACACTCTCCAACCAGTCACCGACCTCATTGGGACAAGCTCATTTTTAGCATTTGGAACCTTGGTGATTCCCCCTTTCTTGGGCACACATTGAACATGACAAACCCAACTAGTATCACCAATGGGATATATGACTCCAACATCCAACCACTTAATGATCTCCTTTTTCACAACCTCTTGCATAGGGGGAATCAGTCTCCTTTGGTGATCAATACTTGGCTTACTGTTCAACATGAGTTGGATTTTGTGAGAACAAATGCCCGGTGGAATACCAATAATATCTGTAATAGTCCATCCAATATCCCTCTTGAAACTCTTCAAAACAGAAACCAAGCCCTCAATTTGCTCCTCGCTCAAATCCACAACAATGATTACCGGTAAAGTGCTATCTCTCCCCAAGAATACATACCTCAAGTGTAATGGTAGAGCCTTGAGTTCCAGTTTTGGAGGCTCTTCCACAGACGGTTTTGTAGGAGGGGATTCACGATTCTTCATATCTAACTCCAATCTTTTTGGTTTGGAACGGAATTTGAACCTATCAAGTGCGGCAACTAATTCATTATAGTCTTCAATACCATCACTATCAAAATTCATCATTACCGCTGCCAGTGCATCAACACCCAACCTCTCTTCAATAGACACATCAGAATGTTGCTCCATAATATGATTTACTACTGATACCGACTTAAGATCGCTTCACTTCTTCATAGACCTACAAATATTAAAAGTCACCTCCTCATTATTTAGTTGGAACTTCATGTGCCCTCTCTCCATAACGACTAAGGCATGCCCAGTAGCAAGGAATGGTTTCCCCAAGATGATGGGAACCTCAAAGTCGACCTCGCAATCAAGTATCACAAAAATCTGCCAGAAAAATGAACGACTCCACTTTCACAAGGACATCGTGGAGCACATCAATTGGCTTCTTCACATTTCTATCGATAGTGAGTAGATGCATTATAGTCGGTTTTGGAGCCCCTAAACCCAACTTCTTGTATATGGACAATGGCATAAAATTAATGTTGGAACCTAAATCGCACAAAGCTTTCACAAAGTGTAACATCCCAATGGTACAAGGAATAGTGAAAGCTCCAGGATCCTCTTTCTTTTGCACAAGTGACCTAGTAGCAATGGCACTGCAATGTTGTATTCTCTCATCATTCTCAAAACTCACAACCCTCTTTTTGGTCACCAAATCTTTCATAAATTTTGCATACCCAAGCATTTTCTCCAAGGCTTCTATCAACGAAATATTGATAGAAAGTTGCTTCAACATAGTAATGAACTTGCAGTTTTTACCCTCTTCAGTCTTGTTCACAAATCTCTGTGGGAATGGAAGCGAAGGTCTACGCATAGGAACAACCTTTTGGGTCACCTCAGCTTCCTTTTCAACACTATCTTTTGGGCCTTCAGTAACCTCAATCTCACCTTCTTCATTCTCTACCACTTTTTCAACCTCAGACGGCATGGGTGGATCAATGGTCTGCTTTTCTCCGCGAGTAGTGACTGCCATATAATGCCCATCATTTTTCAGATTCTGGATGGTGTTGCTAGGAAGTGTACCATGATGACATGGATTTTCATTGGTGGACAACTGAATAAACTGCTGCTCAAGTTGCTTGATCGACACTGCATTGGCATAAACTTTTTGACCAATTCCAGACAAGTCATTTCGCATCTCTTTCACATTCTCATCAGTTGCATCAAACTTCTTCATCATCTTTTGCATCATATCCTCAATCCATGACATACTATTACCACCCTCTCTATTATCAAGAGGAACATAGGGACCAACCTTATCATTTTTGTTGCCATAGTTGTTCCAGTTATAGTTGTTGTCATGATTGTAGTTCCCATCCCGGACATAGTTACCCTCACAGTTGTAGTTCCCCTCACGGTTGCAGCCTCCATAGTTCCGACCTTGGTTTCCTTGACCTTGGCTCCAATTATCCAAGTTGGAACATTGGGTGTTGGTTCAGAAACCCCCTGTCTAATCATTCACCAAATATGAATCCTCCTCATAGTAACATTCCTCAACTGGTGATGGTGGAGCTCTAGTTAAGTAGTTTACCACATTCACTTTTTCTGCACCTTCACTCACATGCTTTAATACCAAACCCAATTTTGTCCTCATTTGAGCCATCTCTTCACGAATATCATCATTGTCTTGGTTAGGTGCAGTTTGAACTGCAAATATGTTTCAACTAGTGTTCGCCTTTCTAGTGCTTCATGCCTTATTATTTTGGGAAATCTTCTCCAGTTTTTCAGCGATCTCCTCGAAAGTGCACTCACCATATGACCCTCCAGCAATAGTATCAAGCAGAACCTTTCCATTGTCATCTTGACCTCTATAGAAATACTTCTTCAATGATTCATCATCTATGCGGTGATTCGAAACACTTCTGATGAACGCAATGAACCTATCCCATGAACTACTTACAGACTCTCCAGGTAGTGCTACAAAGTTATTCAGTTTATCCTTGTGATTTAGCTTCTTAGACACTGGGAAATACTTCGCCATAAACACCTTATGCAATTGGTCCCATGTATGAATCAAATTATATGGAAGCTTAGAAAACCACACTGCAGCATCACCAGTATATGATAGAGGGAAGACTCTAGAACCTATGACATTCATATTCGATTCTGGTCTTCCCACACAACTCGTGCAATCACTTCTCAACTTAGCCATGCGACCATGTTGATCTTCCGAAGCTAGACCAGAGAATAACCCTCTTGTTGTGAGCATTTGCATCAAACTGCTAGTTACCATAAATGTATGCCCCGGAGGTAGCGGCGAAAGAACAATGGGCCCTTCTAATTCAACTGTATTGTAGTCAACCTTGTAGTTATCATTCAACCTAAGTGCTGGTGGTTTTTGTACCCTCTCTACATCTCCGATTAGATTACCACCATGAACCTGAGCGTTCACATTAAAAACTCCAGGAGACTGCAATTCATCTACATCCTCATGTTCTTTAATGATTGGATTATTATGGACCCCTTGATTATTTATTTTTCTCAATGTTTTTCTCAACTCTGGATCGTAGGGGGTCAATAGTTCGCCTCAACTCCGTGTACTTGGCATACACTAGAGTAGAAACCTATAGAAAACAAAAGGAAAAGCAAAACATAAAATCAGGAAATATTTAACTAAATTTTAATAATGTAATTAAAGTTAATCTAAAAGTCGATTCCCCAGCAGCGGCGCCAAAATTTAATACGCTCAAATTTACACCTCCCTAAAGAAGTATAAGCGAAAGTTGTCAAATAAAGAACTCAACTTATAGGTTGGGGTCGATCCATGAAGAATATGGTTCAGACTTAAACTTAACTCATTATTATATTCGTTTAGTCAAATTATTTCCGAGAGAAGTAATCGAAAATGGGGGGGGGGGGGGGTTGTAAGTAAGTAACAAATTGTTGATTAATTAACTAGTAAGCAAGATTCAACTTTGAGTTATCAATATGAGAGAGAAACTATGGTATGCGTGTTCCCCACAAGCTCTTAACGTTGTAATTCTAATAATAGTAATCTTTTCCTAGTGTTTTACATGCAAAGTTGGTAAGTTAGGTACCCCAAAGTGATTGGTCCTCCAAGTAGGGAATTTCACCACACACATTGGTCCGGCTATGGGTGTATGCTTTACTAAACCTTACTTTTTACTTCAGATTAGCCATCACATCAATGTTTGGCTTAGTTTTCACCCTTACTCCAATTGACATTAGACTATTAGATAGCATGCACTAAATCTCTGTTGTTAATTCTTTTCTCATTCACTACCTCCTTGGTCCGACAAGTAGAAACGAGGCGAGTTCTAATTTTGGCCACCGTTAAAAAAACTTCTAAACGAAAAAATGAACAATACATGCATAAACACTATTTAAGAATTACTTAATTATTATTTATACATTGTTAATTGCTCATGGTTCCCACAACCCTAATTGTGGATTTAGCTACTCATGCTTGAAAGAACACAATTTATAATTAGATAAAAGGAATACATGAACTTACAAGAAGAATTGATGAAACCCTAAATCTTCAATTGAATTTCAAAGCGAAAATTATATAAAACGAAATCCGGAAATCAAATTGCTAAAGTTTGCAAGTTAATTCCCAAAACACCAAAACTAGAATCTTACAATAATGTCTAACCCCCAAAAATGAGGTTTACAACTCCTATTTATAGAAAATAAGTCCTAAATAAAATAGGAAACAAAATAAAGAAATAAACTGTTGGAACGCGACTTCTGTCAATGGCACGACCTATGGACCGTGGGTCGACCTATGGACCATGGGTTGACCTACAGTCTGTAGGTCACCCTCCGTGGTTCAACACTTAGAAACTTTCATCAGGTACTGGAACCTTCAACTCTCAGATCATCAATGATGGACGTGCAAGACGTACTATGGGGCGACCTACGGTCCATTGTCTTGCTCTGTGGTTCCACTCTTGTCAGACTTCCTTAATGTTCCACCTACGATGCCTCACCCACGATTTGTGGACTGGTCTACGGTCCATCCTAGTACTCCGTGGACTAAGTACTGAAACTCAGCTCCCCAGATCAGGACCTACGACTAACCACCCACGGCCTTTCATTGGACCTACGGTCCATGGGTGGCTCCGTTGGTGGCCACTTCTGCACTTTTGAGCTCACATCTTTATCAACCGCATCCAAGCCTATTTTCTACAAACATTATACACAAAACATTAAGTCTAACACAAAATAGCCCTAGACACACACAAACTCTAAGTGAAATGCGTCAAAAATACCGTAAACTAATCATATATCACGTACCATGGACCCGAAACAAGCTCCAGCCTACTCAAGGAAGGGCAAGTCCAAATCAGTTGCCCCTTCCTGACATTTGATAGATGAGGACACTGATCAAGAGTACATGACAAAGACCACCATAGGCTCCCCTAATTCCTCCCAGACCATGAGAAATAGGAGAAGGCATGTTATTTCATCCAGTGACGAGGTCGAGGTCACTGCCCCCAAGTTTGAGGAGGAGGCTTAATCTGCAGCTGAGTCGCAGTCCAGCTCTAGGTCGCATTCCAGCTCCAGTTCTAGCAGTGCTTCCACATCTTCCTCGGATGCCCTTGTACCACCCAGAGATGAACCAGTTCCTAATGTTTCGGAGCCGAACAAGTGGTGCGTCAGGGGACAGTACCAAATCTATTTTGATGCCAAGGTGGTTAATGAACATCAAAAGATTGCCTGCATTATTATTGAGGAGCGTCGGGTTCTTACTAGAAGCCTTCAAACGGTGCCTATTATTAAGGAGTTGTTAAAGAGGCACAGGTGTGTGTGGATGGCACGGGTCCTGGAAAGTTTAGTGAGGAGATGACCCGAGAGCTCTATGCTTCCTATGTCGCCACTATCTGTAACTTTATATCTAAAAGGGCCAAGCTTGTAGCTCAGTCCCCACTTCAGGTCACCTTGGTGCAAAATTTCTCTGTCAACATCTCTGAGACTACTATTCACCGGTTCATCTATGGCCCAACCCACACTCTGCCCATTAATACAACAGAGTATTACTATAGGATGGGCATTATTCAGAGCGGGGCATTTCAGAGAGATGTTGAGTAGAGAGAGACATTGCTTCGGTGGATGGTCCATCACATTACAGATGAAGGGGAGTGCACTGAGTGGGTGCATAATATGACTTTGCCTATCAAGAAGGCTACTTTAAACTTCACTGTGAAGTTCTTTTAGACTATTCTTCGTACCAGACTATCCCCTACTCAGGCGGACAACGTGGTTACTTGAGACAGAGTTGTGATGTTGGCAGCGCTTGTGGCAGGACTTGAGATTGACTTTGCTCGGATTCTGATCACTGAGATTTATGAAAGGGCCTTCAAGACCACCATCACGTTGCCTTTTCCTTGTCTCATGTTTCATCTGTGCAGGGCTGCTGGGGTGCCTATTTGGCATTGTGATAGTTTGATAGAGGCCACCCAAACTGTGGACATTAGACTCATTAGAGATGATGCAAACCTTGTTGCACCACAGAGGGATCCCCAGGTTGACCTACCACCCTTAGGTGTTGATCTTGTTGTTGATGTGGATAAGATCTAGGTTGATGACAATGTCCTTCCTCCCACAGCTACGGATGTACATGCTCCACCTTTTACTGCCACTAGCCAGTCCGCGAGCTCATCCTGAGCCACTCCCTCTTTAGGGTCCATTGTAATTCCTCTGGCTCGAGTCCAGAAGTTAGAGACACAGATGGTCATGCTACTGCAGCATATGAGGCCTTGGATGTTGAGATCTGCTAAGGAGTCTGAGGCTCATATGGAGCAGATCATGGAAAGAAGACTAAGGCAGTCCACAAATGCCTAGATGCCTTTGAGTTGAGGGTTCTAGAGAGGCCTACCCCTGCTATTGATGTGACCACTTTCTAGACGGAGTTGTCTAAGCTCTGATCTGATGTTGATACTCTTTTAGCCTCGACTGAGACTGTCTCAGTGGTACCCCCTGCAGCTGAGGAGGATGAGGTTATGATGACAACCCTCTTTGGCGACACTATTCCACCACCTGATCATTCCCGTGCTGCTGGGAAGTGCCACCATTCTGATCACACTTCAGATACTGAGGAGGCCCGCAGAGTTAAGAAGAGGGAGGGGCAGAAGCTTGAGGCATCCAAGAGGCAATCCATTCTTGATGTGGAGATGCGTTAGAAAAGGGCCCGTGAGATAGGTGTTGGTCCATCAGATTCGAGGATCACTATTGAGGGTGTTCCCACTGTTGATGAGGGCACTACTGATGGCGTTCCTACTATTGATCCAGCGGGTTCCAGGAAATTGGATCGACCCGCTTCTTGATGGGTCTTCGGCGCATATGCGCCATAGGTTTGCTTCACCCTATGCTTTATTTTTATTATCTGTGAATTTAGGGCAATTAAACCATATTTTGTTTTGGGGGTGAGGTAAATGGATTGTGAGTGAAAGGGTGAAGACTGAGTAACCCAACTCGTAATCCTCCTTTGGGTTTTTTTTGCTTGTGTTTATTCCCCCAAGGGGTTGTTTTACTTTTATGTTGAACTGGCATATTTAGGATTGTATGTGTAGAAGTAGGTAGAAAAATTAAAGCATGATGGTATAAGAAAAATGAAATTGATACTTGTCCAAAATTTTGAAATGTGCTAGATCTATAGGTTCAATGAGTTGAATATGCTGGAACTTCATATGACATGACAAGGAACCAGTACAATAGCATGACTTAAGCTAAAACTTGAACTAGGTAATTCAATAATCCGGTAATGCAACAATGTGCCAAGTGTGTGAGATGATTTTGGTTGTTCATGCCTTGTGTGTCAATCTAGAACATGCCCCGTTAGTCCTGTTAAGATAATCTAGCCTAGGAATTGGGAGATGATCATAGGCCCTTGTTCAAATGAGTCCACTAAAGCCTAAAATGAATCAACCAAAAGAAATAAATGCTCCCTTTGATCCAAATGTTTGAGCCTAATGTAGAACACTTCTTTCAATACACCTAACTCACCTTTCCTAAAATATTATTTTGGCCTTGGTCCCTTCTTGGACATGTGCACCTTAACTTAGGCCAAAAGACTAAGTTGAGGGTGGCTGATTCAAAAAGTTACCTTAATCTTGGCCCTGATCCGACATCGTATATTGTGCACCTCAACACATGAAAAATACATAAGTTGAGGGTGTCTACAATACAGGAAACCTAAAGAAAAAGGTATGAAAAGAGTTGTGTGCAAAAGAAAGAAAAAGATATAAAAAGATGTGATTGAAGTTAAAAGAAACAAAAAGAAGAATGATAAAGATTGTTGAAAAAAAACAAAAAACAAAAAAACAAAAAAAAGTGAAAAAGAAGTGCGATAAAGTCAAAGTCATATATGTGCTAAAGATAATGAAGGAAAGAAGCAAAAAATAAAAATATGTCAAGAATTGGTTGAGAAAAGAGGTAAAAAAAATGTCAATGTAATGTCAAGGAGGGCATAAAAGTCACTAAAAGTACCCAAATATACCCTACCTGACCCTGAGCCTACATTACAAGCTAAGAAAGTCCTATAGTGATCCTAGTGATTAGTTTGGAGAGTCTGTGTAGTGAAAATAAGGGCAAGCCTATGTTATTGAGCACTAACTGTATTTGAATTCACTTCTAAGCGTGAGTGTTCAATGAATCCTTGAACTTAAAATTATACTTATTGTGTGAAAAAGGATTTCTTGGAAGTGAGGTCACTAGTTACATTGTTGGAAAGTTGGTACCTTGGCGATTGTTGAAAGTGTATGTGGTGATGTCTATTGGTCTATCTATGTCATGTGTTGATCCGTATGAGTTAGTTTATTGAGTCTAAATGAAAATATTTTCACTAAGTGATGGAATTGATTGAGACAATCATATGATTGCTTAAGTTTGTATGTTTGCTTCTGCATAACTGTCGTTTAGAGTTTTAGTGTGTTGTTTGAGGACAAACAACAAGTTTAAGTTGAGGGTGTTGATATATCATGAGTTTACGGTAGTTTTTGATACGTTTCACTTAGATTTTGTGTGTGTCTTGGGCTATTTTGTTGTTGGAAATAATGGTTTTATGTAATTCTTGCAGGAAATAAGTTCGGATGTGGTTGATAGATAAGAGCTGAAAATTGCAGAAGTGGCCACTGACATTGCCAACCACGGACCATAGGTCCATTGACAGGCCATAGATGGGAAGTCGTAGGTCCTGGTCAGAAAGCTGAGTTTCAGTACTCAAACTACGGAGTGACAGGAGGGACCGTAGTCTAATCGATGGACCGTAAGTGGAAAAATGTAGATGAAGGTTCAAGGAAGTCTGACCAAATGTGGAACCACGAAAGCATCGATGGACCGTAGTTTGACCCGCGGGCCGTCCTGCACATCTGTCGTTGGTGATTATAAAGTTAAAGTTACAGTACTTGAACCACAGAGGCAAGTGACGGACCGTAATCTAATCCAGGGACCGTAGGTGAAGTCATCGTTTGAAAGCCTTAAAAATATTGCACAAGTATGGAACCACGGAGGGTGACCTACGGACCGTAGGTCGAACCATGGTTCGTAGGTCCAATCATCAACAGAAATAGCGTCCGAGCAGTTATTTCCTTATTTTGTTTCCTACTAAGTTTGGGATTTGTTTTCAATAAATATTGTAAGGTTTTAGTTTTTTGTCTTTTGGAATTATTTTGCAAACTTTGAGCAATTTAATTTCCGAAAGTTGGTTTATGCAAGAACGCTTTTGAATTTCAATTCAAGATTTGAGTTTTCATCTATTCTAACTGTAAGTTCATGAATTATTTTAACCTAATTATAAATTGTGAACTACCAAGCATGAGTAACTAAATCCACTACTAGGGTTGTGGGAACCATGAGCAATTAACAAAGTATGAGTGATAATTAAGTAATTCTTGAATAGTATTTATGCATGCATTGTTAATCCTTTCGTTTAGAAGTCTGTTTAACGGTTGCAAATGTTAGAACTTTCATTGTTTCTACTTGCCAGACCAAGGAGGTAATGAATGAGAGAAAGATTAAACATCATAGATTTAGTGGATGCTATCTAATAGTCTAATTTCAATCAAAGTGAGGGTGAAAACTAAACTAAATTGATATGATTACTAATCTTGGGTAAAGGTAAGGGTTAGTAAAGCATACAACCGTTGCAACAACCGGGTTCCGTTGTTATAGAAAAGCCAAAGGGGAAAAAATTTGGATCAAAATTTTTTTTCGTAGTAACTTGAAATTTCCCAACCTAGTCCAGATTTGGATGAAAACAAAGTCATTAAGGTGTAGGGAAATACGGTGCCAACTGGCTGAATTATTTATGATTTTGATTACATTAGTAGTTAGATAAGTCGTTAAGGAATCTGTACGACTTTACGTATTTGAATTCGGGTGAGTAGAACTCCTGTAATCGATCTTAGCATTAACGGTATTTTCTGAGCATCGTTGATTAAAGGTGTGTTGTGAAATGGG